TGTGTGCCCGTGCTGTGCGTGCATACGTGTGTAAGAGAAATTTGAAGTTGCCAGAAAACCTCCACAGCCTGTGAAGGGCCTTATATATTTCCACTCACGACTGGAGAAAATGGCATTTACTCAGAAATGAAATAGCTAGCTACACGCGTTCGGCAGTATGAAGTTCTGCAGTCACGAAAGCAAGTAATCAGCCAACGGAGTAAAAAAACATATACATGAAATCCGGCAGCGCAAATGCGACATTACTGAAGAGATTGCTTACTACTAGTATGCGAATGATTTCATGGCGTGAGTCAGCGGATTTTCTACTGGGCGCTAAGTGTACAGTGTGGATCACGACACTAGTTCAAGTGCAGCGCTGCGGGTCTGCGACTCTGTGACAGCATCTCAACTAATGAAAGCTCACAGCCTCAAAAATTATACATGACATTGTACTCCTGACTGTACAGTAAGTAGTCTAAGTAGTTCGTCTGATGAGTGGTTTTTGAAACACGAAACTCGGAATCACGAAAAGGATTTTTGGTCTCTGTTGTTCTGCCCTGTGTAGTCTCAGTTCTCACATTATCCCTGAAGATGCCGATGCCGTGTTGGGCGAAAATTTGGAACGGGTATTTTGAAGTGTTTGGAGAGATTTTTCTTTCTTTTCTTTGTGTTGCCAAGGACTTGGTGCGGCTGTGTACGGTGAAGGTAATTAGTAAAGACTCACTACTAGTACAATAATTGTATCCTGTCACCTAAGTAGGCTAACTAACTTCAGGGCTCACCACGACCATACAAAATTCAAAAAGCGTCGACCACCATTTTGAATGCCGCCAAAACCAGAGTTTGTGCAGTCATAGCGGCTACGCACCCGAGTTCATGCTCATCGATGTACAGCGATGTACAGTCTAGTCGTAAAATGCCGGTATTTTACGACTTCCTGGTCTACTCTGTACAGCGAAGGGCCAGTGCCGAAGCGAATCTTGTTGTTTGATGTCGAGAAAGACACGCGGAGAAGACGTCCTTTCTCCAAGCAATCTTGGTCATTTTTCTCAATCCGCTGGTGGGTGTCGACCAAGATATGTCCGTGGGGTACTGGTGAACTTGAGTCCTGGCATCTACAAGAATTTGCCGCGCCTAGCTAACCAATGTTGTCAGTAGAACTCAGCGTTTCCTGATCGCGACTCGGCACACTCTTTTCTGTTTGGCCTCGCAGCTTTCACGCTGCGAGTGGGGAGTTTCCTTGTCACAAATGAATCCCTTAGTCATGACCATGATGAGAGGTGACTAGTATGATCCCTGACTGGCATGAGTCCTTAGCTTGAGTCAACACGAAGGTAAACTCTTCACTTGGAACGCTTGCTGTCTCCTCCGCCCTTTCTTGTTGCACTTGCAGATATGCGCACGGCTGCCAGTTTTTGTTGGTGCGCGCGGCGACGCACGGCCGACCTTGATGTCTTCAAAAAAGTAGAACAGCGGTTCTCCTTGGCCGATTCTCATCATCGATAGCTCATTTTCAAGGTCTTGGAATTCTCTATCGGTTTACCGTCCCCGATTTCTAATTTTCTCTTCATTCACTTGTTTGCACGCCTTCGCGTTTGAGTGATTTCACCATCCGATCTCAGCCAAACGAAGGCCAAATCGAAAAATTCGAGACGGTAACCCCCCAAAGACACACCTTCTGAACACGAATCCACAATGGCCTAATGTCTAAAACCAACGAATACAGCCAAGCTCCACTCAGAAAACACCCCACAATTGCAAGAAACAGCCCGTTTTGCTGTGCGCTGATTGGTCAAATCCAAATGACCGTTATTGATTGACGCTTTGTATGGTCGTGGTGAGCCCTGAACTTCCTATTCCTTGTGCGTTCAATAAAATTTTGACTTTAGTTTCAGCGATAAACGTAGCATCCTGTCATCTTCACCGGCTGCATGATTATCATCATGATCATTGTAGGTAGCTGCGAGGAACTGATATGTGATAGCGCTATAAATTATAATGTTACAGCAGATTCGCATCTGCAACACGCAAGGACCTGATGAATCTTTTCACGAGCAGTGGCACTCGCGCAGCTGACTTGGATCAACTACTACTGGCAGTACTGCGCTACTACTACTAGTACTGAGTACTAGTAGGTACTAGTTGACCAGCACTCAGGCAACAGTCAACACACGCGCTCTAGCTGGTCCGTCTGGACTGACTAGTACTAGACTTTCGACAGCCCACGTAGCTAGCCTCCTTGGTTTTGAGTTTGAGCAATCAATAATTTCCTCGGAGTACCGCCATGTAGTACAGCTAAATTCTAGTCGAACAGCATCTAACTCGTTTCACCAAGATGACACTAGCGCCCCAGATAACGCAGGTTGCATGTATCTGCGCTGAAAGACCACCTCACCTAGCATTGGCATTGCCGGTGGATGTCGGACGGTCTAAATTCGAGGACATTTTGCGCAGCGCGCCGCATCCAACCCCTCAGCTATGGCTTCGGCGGACGTTCGCTGGTGCCTTCTGCACACTGACGAGATTTAGAGGTTGGTATCCGCTCAGCATAGTCTCCCTGCTGCTAGTCGTGTTCGCTGTGGTGGTATGGATATTCTTGGCGTGCGCTCAGGGCGGCCGGACGTGGTATTCGCCCGACTCTACTGGTGTGCATATGTCGGCAGTACTTTTCCGGTTGGCTGCCAGAGGCCTGATTGAACTGGCGAGTCTTTGGTCGTTCTTGTGTGGCTTCATTTATGTCAACACACACATCGAGAGTTTCGAGCAGAAACAAGGTCTGTTCTATTGCTCTGCAGAACGCCCGACGAAATGTAGCTCTCCTGACACAAAATGCGATGAACGGTTACGTTGCTCACACGGCGAGCGGCCCCGGGTACGGAATGACGGGGTTTTGGACGTGTTGAACGCACAACTGCCAACGCTCGTCGTGTGCTGGTCTCTGCTGCTGGGATGTGTCCTGATTTTGTACAAGTACGTGCCCTGGATGTGCGGACACTGGCACGTGACAGAACTAGAAACCTGGCTGACATTACCTCATCTGTGGGTCATCGCATTTCACGCTCGTCCAATCTGGCTGGGCATTGCGAACTACGCCATAGTGGGGATGTTCTGCGCTTGTACTGAAGATGTGGTTGTTGTCGTGCACAGCACATCCGCACAGGTTCTCAACGGCCAAACAAACCAACCTGCACCAGTTAACCAAATAGAGGCGAACGGACAGCCGTCAGTCCGGCTTCACGTAAACGAATTGATCCAGACTGTCGTGGAGCTGCAGCACTACGTAGATAAGTCGCTGGAGTTGCCACTGCGTTGGCTACAAGTACACATACTTCTGTATGTGCTGAGCACGGTATGCTTTTTGATTGGTGACGTATTGTTTGCAATGGCCGGAGTCAGCAAATATTACACACTGGGTGGGGACACGGGCGACATTATACTGGCGGTGACGGGCCTTGCCGGTTGCTTTCTGATACCGCTCTACTCCGTCACACGAGTGACCGGAGCACTTGACGACTTTGTGCTGTCGCTCAGGACGGCCATGGCTCAAGCAGCAGGCGGCGTGTCGCCGGACGATCGCTTTCGGCTGGGCTCGTTCCTGCAGTCGTGCCCGCGGCTGGGCGTGGTCGTGCGGGGCGTGCGCGTAACTAGCCGTCGAGCAATGCAGTTAGTCGTGAGTCTATCCTGTGCTGGGCTGGTATACCTTACCTACTTGTATTGTATTGCGTTCTATTAGTCTACTTGGGCATTCCCAGCTGACTCTAGGTCTATTAGGGTGTCCACTTGACTGAATGTGTTGTTCCTGGTGAAGCGAGCCTAGTACTGGGGAAGAATTACTGGACTGTTTGCTTCTGCGCCTGCAGTGCATTCTATGTGGACTTGGAAGTCGTGCCTGCAGCTGGGCTCCTTGTGCGCAGTGTGGGTTACTTTGTCCATGTCCATGTCCTGTCTGGTACAAAGAACCGAAAGAAATCAGAGTACCACCACCCACTGTGTGCTGTCGTGAGGCAGTCAATGCTCTGGGTGCATGAAAACAATACTGTAAGTACAAAGTTTCGTCTGGAATTAACTTTCGCGATGTTCGTTAGGGGGCACGAAAAACTAAAGTTTTTACCAAACAAATTATTTTTCTGAACGTTCGGGGTGACAGACCTTGACCAAAAACAGTCCATCAAATACTCTGTATAGGATAGGCTGGTGCATGATGTCCTTCATGGTCATTAGTGCACGTGGGTCAAATATTTTAGGGGGTACACGTGCCCTCTGTGTACATGTGCCCCCTGTGCCCCATGCGGGCTACGCGCCTGAAGTAATGCGGGGCAAACCAGTGTGGTGTTTACTGCAACGAGCATCCAACTGATGCGAGCGAGCGCTACGCCAGTTCGCATCCTGGTGGTCCTGGTGGCCTTTGCCTCAGAATTATTTGCTAGTACACACTGCACTATGATATATTTTCATGTGCACACACACACACACTTGGTTTCTGTACCTTTTAAAGTGATCGTGTCAGGGGTATTATAATATTCTTATCAACCACCACACCACACCGCTGCGCTCTCCGGCCGACCTCAACACATTGCCACAGCACACCATCAGCAAAACGACACTTCAGTTGGTACTCTGCTCCTTCAGACAGCAGCTGTTTCTATCATCAGGATCTCGTCAGTGAAGGTTGATAATGTAGAATGGCTAACAGATAGTGAACTTCACCCTTTTGTAGCAAAAAAAGGGGGAAACATAATGGCGCATCTTAGGCGAAAAAAAAGAAAAAAGAAGAAGGTGAAGTTCACTATCTGTTAGCCATTCTACATTATCAACCTTCACTGACGAGATCCTGATGATTGAAACAGCTGCTGTCTGAAGGAGCAGAGTACCAGCTGAAGTGTCGTTTTGCTGATGGTGTGCTGTGGCAACGTGTTGAGGTCGGCCGGAGAGCGCAGCGGTGTGGTGTGGTGGTTGATAAGAATCTGGACAAGGCCGAATGCTGCTACTTACCCCTCTCGATCAATATTATAATAATGATGTATAAAATAAGCTGTATTCTTCTGCAAAATTCAATAGCTTCAAAGGGCTCAAGTAAATTAAAGAAGAAAGTCAAGAGCAAATGCTATTAAAATGCAGTTCTAGTCAAGAAAGGTTTTAATTGATCAATAGTCACATGATTGCATTCACAGGGATCAAGCTACATCATGTACTCCATAGCAGCTGTCGGTTCCTGACAAATATTAATATTGAAAAATATTATAAATCAAGATGGAATAGCACATCTTGTAGGACACTATATTTCCCACAGATATGCAGGGTGCCATGTTTTACACAGTTATACTCTTACACCTGGCAGGAGACCATGTTTCACACAGATATACATCTTGCATGTCACCATGTTTCCTACAGATATCTTGTAGCGCACTATGTCTACTGTAGATATACATCTTCCAAGGCACCATGTTTACCGTAGCAACTCACCGTGACGACACAAGCGTTGATTCTCAGCGTCGTACGGAGCTGAGGGTAATCATGAAGGATGGGTAGCACTGAGAGGGGACGTGCACGGTGAACTGAGATGGGCTAGCTACGGAGTCCACGATGGCGCTGGCAAAGCGTGTGCCCTGTGTTGGCGTCAAACTTTCCAATGGCACCGGGCGGCGACAAGGGCCTTGCGTGAGAGGTGCGCCGTCTTCACTTGTTCCACTTTCTCGTTTGAGAGGTGTGCTGTTCGCTCTTGTTCCGCTTCCTGGACTGGGACCTGTGCAGGATCTTTCAGCAACATCGCTGATGGCAACCTTTGTGAGGATTACAAACTGCTGTCCACGAACTGCAGCCAGAACACTATTAAAATCCACCATGAAGGTAAAACCCGCTCCGTAGTGTACAGCTAAAGAAACACATTTTGAGAGAGAGAGAGAGAGAGAGAGAGAGAGAGAGAGAGAGAGAGAGAGAGACAGAGGGAGGAGGAGAGAGAGGGAGAGACAAACAAACAGACAGACAGAGAACGAGGCAGACAGAGACAGATACACAACCGGGTGAGTGAGAAAGAAAGAGAGAGAGAGAGAGAGAGTGAGAGAGAGAGATAGAGAGATAGAGAGAGTATGAGAGAGAGATAGAGAGATAGAGATAGAGGGAGGGAGGGAAGAACGGGAGATACATGTACACACATTCGTGCTGCGTCTTGTATTAAAATTTTGGTCACTGCAAAAATGTTCATGTAGGTAACCCCGGGAGACGGGAGAGAGGTTCAAAGGAATCTTGGACAGAGGACTCAATTATTGGCTTCTGCCCAGCAGCTGACACACCTAGAAATCCTTCAACACTAAGGAGGATCATCGGTCCGCATTTGAAGGGAGAGGATCACTAATCCGCAGTCAATGGAGTCAATGAACTCCAAGATAACATCACAAGTTTGCATGCAATTATCCCAAGCTCTTACCGTGTAATCTGTTCAAGTCTAGTAGTTCCTTGCTCAGCCAGCCTACATCACACACTCTTTGTGCCTCATCACGACTTCCAGTGGACCACCATAGGTTCTTGGTGCGGACCTCAACGCTGGGAGATCGGTTGGCAAGATTCACAGAGCGCTGCTTGAAGTACTGATACAGGGGTACATTATCAATGCGTTCCACACTATCTATCCTGTGTGACTTGGCCAAGAGAGTTGCATCAAAGCGAGCCATCACCCATGCAAACTCTTCGCTCTTTTCATCCAGCTGGACCAGGCCGCTCCTGTTTGGCACACGCCAGGATATGGGGAGTTCGTACTGGTGCGGAACTTTGGCCACTGCGTCCACCAGTGGTTGTGCAAGCGTTGGCTGAGACTCGCACGGATTAACTAGCACCTTGAGAGAGACAGACAGATAGATAGATATACAGGGAGATATATATATATATATATATATATATACACACAACAACAAGGTTGTCAGTTTCATAACACTAAAAGCTTTTCACCCATTTTCATCAGTAGATACATGGGAATGAGCAAGAACGAAAACGAAGCCAGAACTTATACTGGGGGTAGAGAATCAGCAAGAATATTCTTACGCGCCTCAAGTTCACACTACACTGCCATGAGAATGTATGGAGCAGTGGAAAAATGCGGGAAACAACACATGAGGGGAATGCAGTACCAGAACAAACACGTGATAAAGTTGTCAGTCCGGTTGCAGCTTGAACAGCCGCAGCACCTTGATGTGCTTCTTTTGTCGACACAGCTCTGGCCTCAAACTGCGAATGTACAGCGCCTCCAGTGTGAATCTGTGCGCGCTGTTCCGGGCTGGTGTGATGACACTGAAGCTGCTGTTGCGTTCTTGCGGGATGCATTCAGGTTGCGCCTGCAAATGCTTTGTGATGGCGCTATCACTTGTTGCCACACGTTTGTCAGGCGGCTTCTTGTACAGCTTGTCTGGGTAGTATAAGTTCTGGCTTCGTTTTCGTTCTTGCTCATTCCCATGTATCTACTGATGAAAATGGGTGAAAAGCTTTTAGTGTTATGAAACTGACAACCTTGTTGTTGTGTGTATACAAATTTTGTTCGCCTACGTCTCTATTTAACCCTTTACCGTTTGTACGTACAAATTTCGACCGCTCGCGGTCGATGACTTCTATGCTCACAGCGCTGGACTGGTTCACCGCAGAGAGCTGGGATTTTCCCTACTGGTAGCCAAGATGTACGCGCAGAGGGTGCCGACAATTTTTTTGTGTGATGCAATATAAAAAATCGCGAAAATCGCGACTTGAAAAATGCGCTTTGGGAAAAGTGCGTACCCTGCGACTTTTGGTATTGCCTGCAGATTATTTCGACTTTTGCTTGAGCTGGCCTCACGACTGTCTGCCCTGCTGTGCAAGCCATGGACGCGGAGCAAGCTTTTTCGCTTCTGGAGACCCTTCCTGACGATTCTGTCGCTGCCTCATCCAGCGAAGATGAGTTTGTGGAGCCAGACAATCCTGTTGAAAATATTTATTCTGACGACGACCGCGACGATGACATGGCGAGTGAAAGCAGCGCCAGTGAGAGTAACGTGGATGTCACAGACGACGACAGTGTCGCTGAGATGAGTGCCACTAATGGTGGAAGGGGATGTGGCAGAGAGAGAGGATTCGGCCGTGGAATAGGCCGTCGTCAGGGTTGAGGTCGTGGTGCACAGGTACTATGTACAGCCAGCGGTGCAACCTGCACTAGTCGATATTTGCAATGCTTGGGACAATGCTGACACCGCTGTGACTGGTAACACTCCTGCATTCCACCCAGAGAACGAACCTGGAATCCACTTACCTGAGGGAGCCACTCCAGTGCAAGGATCTGATTTATTGCATATTGCAACAGTTTGCCCGATCGGCAATAAATCCAAATAATTATTAGTGCTAAATAGTGAAATCTGTGTTCGTTTTCTGGACTTGAAAGTTGTTGCATCGCATTCCTGAGGGTTTTTACTTTCAGAATCACCCCATTTTGTACATAATAAAAGTGAAAAATAAAAGAGTTATGGCATGAACAATGACGGTCGGTTTTTGCTGTACAAATACCTAAAACGGTAAAGGGTTAAATATATATATATATATATATTTAAATAGAGACGTAGGCGAACAAAATTTATATACACACAACAACAAGGTTGTCAATTTCATAATACTAAAAGCTTTTCACCCATTTTCATCAGTAGTTACATGGGAATGAGCAAGAACGAAAACGAAGCCAGAATTTATACTGGGGTTAGAGAATCAGCAAGAATATTCTTACGCGCCTCAAGTTCACACTACACTACCATAAGAATGTATGGAGCAGTGGAAAAATGCGTAGCAACACTGAGAAACTTGGAGATCCTTTGTGTCCGCATAAAGTGAAGTGTGGCAGTAGGATGCATGCACATTAGATAGCATCCTATCGGAGGTGACCTGAACTGTAGACTGCGCTTGCTATCTGTTACACATATACAGAACTCCTGCTATCTAATGTGCATGCATCCTACTGCCACACTTCACTTTATGCACACCACCCGGCCTGCGCGATTGCTCACACCACCACACTTGCCACACTTATCTTCACCTGTGATTCCCACCTAGACTGGCTAGCGTGCTTCTTTTCTCCACCTGTGATTCCCACCTAGGGTGCTTCTTTTCGTCTTTTCTGGTATGTAAAGGGATACTGATGTGAGAGAAGAGTAAGTTGCCTGAAGAGTGCTTTTGCACGAAACTCAGAGTAGCAACACTGAGAAACTTGGAGATCCTTTGTGTCTGAGTGTATATATATATATACTCAATCTACGGACAGAACTGTTTCGTCCTTTGTAGACTCGTCAGCGCAGCACAGAGGAAAGGGAATATATGCAGAGCTCACTGACTTGTCAGTTTGAGCACTCTGGCAAGGTACGTTCGGGCCTGATTGGAAATTTTTATTTCCATTGCTATCAGGTTCGGCCTCATTTCCTCGTGCTGCGCTGATGGGTTCAAAAAGAACGAAACAGCATGCTGTCCGCAGATTGAGTATGTATAGGATATTGACCAAGACGAGGTCTATATGGGAAATATAGGCCAAGTAAAAGACCGAGGTCCGCCGAGGTCTTTTACGAGGCCTATATTTCGCATATAGACCGAAGTCGAGGTCAATATCCTATTTATCACGATTCCTTTGCCATAACCCCAAAATTTGAACCTTTAGGAGCTATTGTAACCTTTTTAGTATAGCATTTGTACTATAGTGTACATAGGATGTTGCCTATTTTGGGTACAGGACTGTAAGAACAACAGAGTTCAGCATCTGCAGCACAGTGGCTGGGTGGTATAAGGGGTTGCTTGAGATTCATACTGTTGTGAGTTCAAATCCTGCTTGTTCTCTTCCTTTGTCGTCTTTCTTTCAATTTTTCTTTTTGAAGTGGAGAGAAAAATTCTAAGTCCCTCCAAAGTCGAAAGATTACAATGCCTAAGTGGTCGATACAAGCGGTCGATATAAGCGGTCGATATCGCGGCGATATGGGTAATATAGGACCAGTTAAGGATCACGAGAATTAGTGGAGGTCGATATAGAAGAGTGATAAATGTATATATTATAACAAGGGACCGAGTGTATATCGAGAAATATAGACCAGTATAAAAACCGAGGCGAAGCCGAGGTTTTTATAACTGGTCGATATTTCTCGATATACACGAGGTCCCTTGTTATAATATATTTATACCTCTCCATGCGCAAGCTCAAGAGAAAAAGGAGTGAATATAGCTTTCTTTCCCTAAAAAGGAGTGAATATAGCTTTAGAGAGAAAGCTATATACACTCCTTTTTAGAGAAAGAAAGCTCCTCCTCAGTGAGTTTTTTCCCGATGGTTTTCCTCAGTGGTGTATATACCTCCTTAGTGGTGTGTATTGAACAGTGTATATGGAAATTTATATACTTCATGGGAGATCTGGTATATGAGTGTGGGTGTATATGGAGTGAGGTATAAATATATATATATATATATATATATATACTCAATCTGCGGACAGCATGCTGTTTCGTTCTTTTTGAACTCATCAGCGCAGCACAGAGGAAATGAGGCCGAACCTGATAGCAATGGAAATAAAAATTTCCAATCAGGCCCGAACGTACCTTGCCAGAGTGCTCAAACTGACAAGTCAGTGAGCTCTGCATAACGCAAACAGCAAAGGCACTACCCCACGCAAGAGTGCTCAACTGCTACAAGAGCAGGAGCGAAATACTCAATCTGCGGACAGCATGCTGTTTCGTTCTTTTTGAACTCATCAGCGCAGCACAGAGGAAATGAGGCCGAACCTGATAGCAATGGAAATAAAAATTTCCAATCAGGCCCGAACGTACCTTGCCAGAGTGCTCAAACTGACAAGTCAGTGAGCTCTGCATATATATATATATATATATATATATATATATACACACAACAACAAGGTTGTAAGTTTCATAACACTAAAAGCTTTTCACCCATTTTCATCAGTAGGTACATGGGAATGAGCAAGAACGAAAACGAAGCCAGAATTTATACTGGGGGTAGAGAATCAGCAAGAATATTCTTACGCGCCTCAAGTTCACACTACACTACCATAAGAATGTAGGGAGCAGTGGAAAAATGCGGGAAACAACACATGAAGGGAATGCAGTACCAGAACAAACACGTGATAAAGTTGTCAGTCCGGTTGCAGCTTGAACAGCCGCAGCACCTTGATGTGCTTCTTTTGTCGACACAGCTCTGGCCTCAAACTGCGAATGTACAGCGCCTCCGTACGCACAGAGGGACGGAGTAGCCATGGGTTCACCCTTGGGCCCCGTGCTAGCCAATATCTTTGTTGGATATTTTGAGAACACAATTCCAGACAGTCATTGGCCCCAATTCTATAGGCGTTATGTGGATGACACATTCGCAGCATTTCACAACCGGAAACTGGCATTAGAATTTTCTGAGCGTTTAAATAATCTTCACCCAGCTCTCCAGTTTACAATGGAGGAGGAGAATAATGGAGAATTGCCGTTTCTTGATGTATTGATTAAGCATTCTTCCACAGAATTGCTCACCACAGTATATAGAAAGCCGACGTTCACAGGTCTTTACACCCGCTGGGACTCGTTTTGTGACACTAGAAACAAAATCAATTTGATCAGATCATTAACTTTTAGAGCTAAAACCATCTGCTCACCATCACTATTATCAGCTGAAATTGCTAAGCTAGAGGATATTCTGTGTTCTAACGGTTACCCACTCAAAGTACTCAAGCGAGTCATGACAAGCGTTCTTGAACCTAGCCCAGATACAGCTTCTGCACAACTTGAACCTGCAACGCGTATTATCACAAAATTGCCGTGGAAAGGGCAAAATTGCATTGCCTTCCGCAAAAAGATTAAAGCTGCAATTTTGAACTGCTATCCTACAGTATCCCCCATTGTAATTTATACAACCAGGCCCGCATTCAGGTCTATCGCGAAGGATGTTTCACCAACTCTTGAAAATAGTAATTTTATTTATAAGTATGCGTGTCGCTGTGAGCGGACGTACGTTGGTGAGACATGTCAGCGATTCTCGGAAAGGATCAAGCAGCATATCCCAGACAAGCTGTACAAGAAGCCGCCTGACAAACGTGTGGCGACAAGTGATAGCGCCATCACAAAGCATTTGCAGGCGCAACCTGAGTGCATCCCGCAGGAACGCAACAGCAGCTTCAGTGTGATCACACCAGCCCGGAACAGCGCGCACAGATTCACACTGGAGGCGCTGTACATTCGCAGTTTGAGGCCAGAGCTGTGTCGACAAAAGAAGCACATCAAGGTGCTGCGGCTGTTCAAGCTGCAACCGGACTGACAACTTTATCACGTGTTTGTTCTGGTACTGCATTCCCTTCATGTGTTGTTTCCCGCATTTTTCCACTGCTCCCTACATTCTTATGGTAGTGTAGTGTGAACTTGAGGCGCGTAAGAATATTCTTGCTGATTCTCTACCCCCAGTATAAATTCTGGCTTCGTTTTCGTTCTTGCTCATTCCCATGTACCTACTGATGAAAATGGGTGAAAAGCTTTTAGTGTTATGAAACTTACAACCTTGTTGTTGTGTGTATATAAATTTTGTTCGCCTACCTCTCTATTTAAATATATATATATATATATATACATATATAAATAGAGAGGTAGGCGAACAAAATTTATATACACACAACAACAAGGTTGTCAGTTTCATAATACCAAAAGCTTTTCACCCATTTTCATCAGTGGTTACATGGGAATGAGCAAGAACGAAAACGAAGCCAGAATTTATACTGGGGGTAGAGAATCAGCAAGAATATTCTTACGCGCCTCAAGTTCACACTACACTACCATAAGAATGTATGGAGCAGTGGAAAAATGCGGGAAACAACACATGAGGGGAATGCAGTACCAGAACAAACACGTGATAAAGTTGTCAGTCCGGTTGCAGCTTGAACAGCCGTAGCACCTTGATGTGCTTCTTTTGTCGACACAGTTCTGGCCTCAAACTGCGAATGTACAGCGCCTCCAGTGTGAATCGGTGCGCGCTGTTTCGGGCTGGTGTGATCACACTGAAGCTGCTGTTGCGTTCCTGTGGGATGCATTCAGGCTGCGCCTGCAAATGCTTTGTGATGGCGCTATCACTTGTTGCCACACGTTTGTCAGGCGGCTTCTTGTACAGCTTGTCTGGGATATGCTGCTTGATCCTTTCCGAGAATCGCTGACATGTCTCACCAACGTACGTCCGCTCACAGCGACACGCATACTTATAAATAAAATTACTATTTTCAAGAGTTGGTGAAACATCCTTCGCGATAGACCTGAATGCGGGTCTGGTTGTATAAATTACAATGGGGGATACTGTAGGATAGCAGTTCAAAATTGCAGCTTTAATCTTTTTGCGGAAGGCAATGCAATTTTGCCCTTTCCACGTGTGGCAACAAGTGATAGCGCCATCACAAAGCATTTGCAGGCGCAGCCTGAATGCATCCCACAGGAACGCAACAGCAGCTTCAGTGTGATCACACCAGCCCGAAACAGCGCGCACCGATTCACACTGGAGGCGCTGTACATTCGCAGTTTGAGGCCAGAACTGTGTCGACAAAAGAAGCACATCAAGGTGCTACGGCTGTTCAAGCTGCAACCGGACTGACAACTTTATCACGTGTTTGTTCTGGTACTGCATTCCCCTCATGTGTTGTTTCCCGCATTTTTCCACTGCTCCATACATTCTTATGGTAGTGTAGTGTGAACTTGAGGCGCGTAAGAATATTCTTGCTGATTCTCTACCCCCAGTATAAATTCTGGCTTCGTTTTCGTTCTTGCTCATTCCCATGTAACCACTGATGAAAATGGGTGAAAAGCTTTTGGTATTATGAAACTGACAACCTTGTTGTTGTGTGTATATATATATATATATATACGAAACAGCATGCTGTCCGCAGATTGAGTATATATATATATATATATAGAGAGAGAGAGAGATAGATAGATAGACAGAGACAGAGACAGATAGAGAGAGAGATAGAGATAGAGATAGAGATAGAGATAGAGATAGAGATAGAGATAGAGATAGAGATAGAGATAGAGATAGAGATAGAGATAGAGAGAGAGAGAGAGAGAGAGAGAGAGAGAGATAGAGAGAGAGAGAGAGAGAGAGAGAGAGAGAGAGAGAGAGACAGAGAGAGAGAGAGACAGAGAGAGAGAGAGACAGAGAGAGAGACAGAGAGAGAGACAGAGAGAGAGAGAGAGAGAGAGAGAGAGAGAGAGAGAGAGAGAGAGAGAGAGAGAGAGAGAGAGAGAGAGAGAGAGAGAGAGAGAGAGAGAGACAGAGAGAGAGAGAGAGAGAGAGACAGAGAGAGAGAGAGAGAGAGACAGAGAGAGAGAGAGACAGAGAGAGACAGAGAGAGACAGAGACAGAGACAGACAGACAGAGACAGAGGGAGAGCCAGAGAGAGACGGAGGTAGATTGATAGATAGATTGAGAGACAGAGAGAGAGAGAGAGAGAGAGAGAGAGAGACAGAGAGAGAGAGAGAGAGAGACAGAGACAGACAGACAGAGACAGAGGGAGAGCCAGAGAGAGACGGAGGTAGATTGATAGATAGATTGAGAGAAAAGAGAGAGAGAGAGAGAGAGAGAGAGAGAGAGAGAGAGAGAGAGAGAGAGAGAGAGAGAGAGAGAGAGAGACATAGACAGAGACATAGACAGAGACATAGACAGAGACAGAGACAGAGAGAGACATAGACAGAGAGAGACAGAGAGAGACAGAGACAGAGAGAGACAGAGAGACAGAGACAGAGAGACAGAGAGACAGAGAGACAGAGAGACAGAGAGAGAGAGAGAGAGAGAGAGAGAGAGAGAGAGAGAGAGAGAGAGAGAGAGAGAGAGAGAGAGAGAGAGAGAGAGACAGAGAGAGAGAGAGAGACAGAGAGAGACAGACAGAAAGAGAGAGAGAGAGAGAGAGAGAGAGAGAGAGAGAGAGAGAGACAGAGAGAGAGAGAGGGAGAGGGAGAGAGAAGAGAGAGAGAGAGGGAGAGAAAGCGAGAGAGGCAGACACAGAGAGAGAGAGAGAGATAGAGAGTAAGTTACATTTATAAAGACAGGTAAGTCTAACAAATGAGGACTGAGACCTCTACAACAGGGTTTTTACGCCTGGAAGCAGGTGCAGAGAGAGAGAGAGAAAGAGAGAGAGAGACAGAGAGGGAGGGAGAGGGAGAGAGAGAAGAAGAAGAGAGAGAGAGAGAGAGAGAGAGAGAGAGAGAGAGACAGACAGAGAGAGACAGAGAGAGACAGAGACAGACAGAGAGAGAGGGAGACAGAGACAGAGCCAATCATGAATCAGAATCTAGCCTTTTGCTCAGGCACATTAATCACAAGACAATTCCTACCGAAATAAACAGCTTCACATGCACAGTGGAACTTCTGTTGTCTGGCGGGAAGTCACAATGTAGATAAGGTTTTTACGGCACATCTTCAAACTTGGAAGCCAACTGCTCAGATTTTGGCGAAAGACAAATGCTTTGGTCATCATGTAGGGAAGGGAAACACAGTGGGATGCAACAAGACTTTAGCACTTTGATCATCTTGCAGGTTCAGCAGTTTGCCAGTCCTCTTCAAGAAAACCCACTTCAACCCCGGTATGCCTCTGTCTCTGCCAGTGTATTCTCTTACGTAGTCGTAAAGGAGCTCGCGTTCGACGGCGTTGGTAAGGCGAATCTTCTCCCCATCGTCCACGGGTATGTCGTTGTTAGAGTAGTGATCCAGCAGGTCTTGAATGGAGGGAAACTTGGGGCCACTGTTGCCCAGGAGGAACTTCGATGAAGGTGACTCTCTGCTGATCTTGATGTACTTTGCATGTGGGAGACTTCCTCTGAATGTCCACAGGTACATACACAAATAATGACACAAACGATTGGTTAACCCATTAAAAGGCTGCAGGCCGTTGCACCCAGGCTTTGCACTCCATATTTGGCATGGAGAAAGACGTATAACTTATAATTATTAACTTATATCAGTATACGTCCTAAGCGCCTGGGGGTCATTTTCAATAATACTTGGTCCGCCCAGTTAAAATTGGCGCTTATCTTCACACTTGTCTCAGGAAAGAAATACTAATATTTGAAGCAAGCCACGATCACAAAGCACTATGTACATGATTATTTACATGTCAGTAAGCAACTCAGTCAAAAATTCAAGCAAGTTACACATCCTCCTCAGGAAGAGCTCAAAACGTACGATCCGGACAGCTGCTGCACGGGTCGTTTCATAGCTTGTTCCACTTCTCCTCGTCTCGAATCACGCTCAAAGGCAGTTCGTGCCTGTCACCTTCCCATCAGAAGCTGAGTGAGACTGCCCGCATGTTGACTGTAAGTGTTATTCCCGTTCGTCGCAATAATGCGACTTTGTTTGAGACAAAAAGGCAACGCCATATCAGTGTCCTTTTTTCAAATCGCCTCTTGCGCTTGTCGTACTTGCTGATCAGCACCCCTACCCACGCGAGCCGCTGGTGCTTGTACATGCAGCGCAGTGATAGCTTCCGCTTGATGTAGCACCTGTGCGTACTGCACCTACAACGCCGTGCACCAGGCTTTTCGGCTAGTTTCCTGAAAGTCCTTTGCACGAGTGTTTCTCTCAGGACTTGGTGTTTCCTTTGATAAGCTCCTTTGCCCTGTCCTCTGTGAGCTTCAAAGTGTGTCCGCCGGATTGGTCTCACTTACTGGTGACATCGACATGAGCTGCAGTTTCTTCGTCAGCGATTTGCTGGTGATAGCCCTTCACTAGGCGCTGTACTGTGCAAGCACTGAAATTCAAGCTCGCGAAGCGCTTTTTCAACTTTTCTATACCTCCCCGGGGTAAACAATCCTTGCCATCAGACAGCTGGAAGTAGACAGAAACTGTATTCTCCATCGCTCTGAAATGCGAACATCCTGACCTATTTTACGGACTCGAGCGGAGGTTGCATGGTTTTCTTGCGCTGACGGAAGTGTTCGTCGGCGGCAGCTCCGTCAAAAAGACTCAAACGAACCGATCGCAACTTCTGTCATGGTTTGTGCTGCCATGTCGTCGGACGCAATGGTCAATGGTCATGTTCGGATGGTGAATCGGTGGTTCCATGCCGTGTGGCACAGGCAGAACACCAAAAAACCAAGTGAGAAGATAAGCGCCAATTTTAACTGGGCGGACCAAGTAATAACAATAGCACACTTCGCGTAGTAGAGCACTAAATAAATATATTCAGTGTTTTTTCCGCTTCTATAAGAATGATACGTCTTTAGCACTGAATGGGATAAAAGTACCATTGCCGTGTGTATACTTGCGCATACTACTCATGACCAAATCAAGTTGTCAGCATAGCTTGATCCAAGCAGTAGCACAGCAGCTCAGATGGAGCACGCCCAGCACACCTTGGCTATTCTATCTTGTTTGTTTGATTTTGAAGTACACAAAGTGCCAACGTACAAGTAACATTCTAATAAAATCTGTAACAGATTTTGGAATATACGCTCAAACTTATTATTTTTGAAATGTGCGGGCTCTCCGAAGATAAAAATGAGAAACCATCTGGTAAAA